GATTTTTTTTTTTTTTAAACGAAATTTCACAGTTCTGTAACGTTAGGCACGCACTTTTATTTTCATTGTGATTTATGTATAATGTAGGGTTCTATTTGGGAGTGACTGCAAGCATTTTTCCATCTATGTGCAACTGGCTCTGATTATTAATCCCCTCTCCTACCCTTTCCCAGGTAATTTAAATTGGTCACGGTAGATTTGTGTCATAGATTTGAACAGTTTTTAGGTTGTTACTAAGTTTGGAGTTTAGATCTGGGAAAGAGGTTTTATTTACATTTTAGTGTGAGATAGCCACCATATTACAAATTTTTTTTTTATTTTTCAAAATAATCTATATTAAATGAGGGTTTTCTGATCTGTATTTTGTGTTTAGCTACCTTTTTCTATTTAAAAAATTAAAAATAAAAGTTATGTTCTTATTAGCTTAAAGCTTGATTTGATCTTTGTTTAAATGCCAAAACTGTACTTAAATGAATTATTTAGAATGCCACAAATTTGCACAGTTTTCATATATGTATATAATCACGTTCATGTATATTTAGATACATATAACGCTTTCTAAATGAGTTTTGCTCTTAAGTCATTTGGCTTGCTGTTTACTCCCTTTTGTAGTTTTTAATCTAAGGAATTTTAAGTCTCAATTTAAAAATTATCACATTTAAAGCTTTTTCTTTGTGCAATCTGAGTATATGTGAGAAATCATAATTGGCATAATTTGTCTTAGTTGATATTCAGGGCTTTGGAAGTCATTATTTCTGGGCGTGGTAAGTGAATTTAAGAGATCTACTGCTCTAGAAAGTATAGATGGCCAAAGGACCATTTTGTATCGTTTCCTGGTTACTAGTCTAATTATACTGTGTGTGCTAATATACTCTATTCTTTTTGTTATAGATTGTCTTAACAGTAGGTCAAGTAATAAAAAAAAAGATTAAATAATTTAAATCCTTAAATGAATCAGTTTTTCTTCCCCTTCTCCTTTCCTTGTCTTCTTCCCCCTCTCCCCCAGAAACTTTTAATCTGGTGGGCAAGAATGAAAATCGAGAGTGAATTATGGGATTAGTGTTTTGAAAGAATAATGTTTGTTTTCAGTGTTTTCCAATCCATTCCAAAGAATGAATCTCAAATCCTTACTTGAAGCATGATTGAGTTGAAGCAGATCTGTTTACTGAGTAGTGGAAGGAAAAGATTCAATCAAAAGCCAAAAGAGTTCCTTTTTATTCGAGACGGATGGATCTCTGGTCTTAGAACTTTCCCAGACTTCATGGGAAATGTCATTTCTGGATCAGCATACTCTCTGGTTTAAATTTAATACATGCCTTTGGGTATTTAGGTATGCTTACTTATGTATATTTTACATTCATAAAGTCTTATTTCTGATATTCCTCAGATTTCGGAGATGATTAAGTTGTACTCATTAGTTTATTGGTATTAATTCCTTCATATCCAGTGAAGTTGGAGATGTGTCGTATTCTGGAACATTCTTTAATTTGTGCAAGCTTTGTAACCGATGCACTTTGTCCGGATTCAGTAGCCCCTTCCCTCAGCCCGCTGAAGGGGAACGTTCAGAGTCACCACAGAATGTAACGGAGGAGAACTTCCTTGGACCGACTGTACTGGTTCTAGTTTCGTTCTCCTTCTAGAACTCTGGCTCATGTGGAATTGTCTTTTGTTTTTTAATGACTTAAATATTGACATTTTATTATTTATTTATTTTTAAATATTGACATTTTAAAATTGAAGTAGCATGATGTTCATTTTCTTGATACTGCTTTATCTGCACAATCACAAATTAATAACTGAACCTTTTTGTATTTTTGTTCGGCCCCGGCAGCGTGTTTCTAGATGGGCTAGAACAACATCGAGAGGCAGTGGCCAGATCACCAGTTAATGTGTCCCCCAAAGTAGCCATCATACTGCTGCCAGGAAAGGCTGCAGATAGGAGATTCTAAAAGGGCGAGTCTTAAACCTCTCCCTTTAGCCCTGTGGCGCTTTCACATAGAAATCAGTATTGTTGTGTACATTTAATGTTAAAATTTGTTAACATTAACTTCAGAGCTGTGACTTCATCCTGAGTCGACCTAGAAAAACCAATGAGCCGTAATTTTTTCGTTGTGTGCAAGTTCTGCCAATTTAACTTAGGTAGCTTTGTGATTCTCAAAGTCACCACTAGATGGAGAGCTTTTGTTTTATCATCTTGGTGAATGTCAAAGGCGTTAACAGTCGGTCCTCGTTATTCGTGGTGTTGTATTTGCGAATTTTGTGAATTTGCCTACCTGCTAAAATTTATGAGTAACCCCCAAGTCAGTACTCGGAGCACTTTCCCTGTCCTTCCCGGATGTGAGCAGAGTGGCAAAGGCTTCGATTGTCCCGACGTGCGCGTGCCCCGCGGGGCTTGAACGAAGCGCCGCTCTGCCTTGTGGTCCCGGCTGTCCGGCTGCCCTCCCGTGTCCGTGTCCGCCTCGTGGTCTGTCCGGTGCTGCTCCGGCATTTTTGTGCTTTCTCTGGGTGATTTCAGTACTTAAAATGGCCCCCAAGTGTAGTGCTAAAGTGCTGGTGAGTGTTCCTAAGGTCGAGGAGGCTGTGATGTGTGTCTTGTAGAGAAAATAAGTGTATTAAGTAGCTTCTTTAAGGCGCATGAGTTATGTTGGCCACATGAGTTCAGTGTTCTTAACAGTGCCTACTCTGGTGTCTGCACCATAACACGTAAGACAAGATTACATATTGATTTATTTACAAAAATGTTGCAACTAGAGGCTCCCGGGAACCTCAACCCTGTATTTCCTCCGGGCGCAAATGGTTCCGTCTCCACTGATTTGGTGTCCGTGGTGACTTTATAAAACTACCACGAGTGAGAGAGAGAACGAGCTGCACCTTTTACAGTCTTCACACTCAGATTGTCCTCCTGGCTTTTGGGCAGGCAAGACCGAATTCCTTCAAACCCCTTTCCCTACCAATTTTTGTACTGACAATTCCCTTTCCTTTTTTTCATTTTTCATTCCATTGTCAGTAGTAACGTGAAACATTTTTATAAAGAGAATTTTTATGTGATGGGAAGATGAACGGTGGTCCAAAATGGACATGTTGGAAGAACCTGACGGTTAAAGGAGTCTTTTGTTCTCTGGTATTTTTGACAAATGATAGAGTTTTAGTCTTTGCATTAGTGAAAAAATAATGGGGTGTTTTAAGTAAAAAATTAGGTAACTTGGTACTTTACGTATTGTGGTCAGACTCCGTTCTATTACTCTTGGTAAAATACACCACAGCGTTTAGTCCATTTGAAAACCAGCGCATTGTCCTAGAAGTGGCCAGTTTGAGACGGAGCTGTGGCTTACCTTCCTCAGGCTCAGGGCTTTGACACCCAGACCATTCTGTGCTGTTCCTTGAACATCTTTGCCTGAGTATTTTTCTGCCACTCTTCTGTGTGCAATTACCAAAGACAGTAGTGTCTCGAAGTAGGAGACCGTTCATGAGGTGGGAAGCCCTGAGCAGCGGTAGAGCCTGCGGGTGATGAAGTCTCTGGGGGAATTCGGTTCTACTAAGGGGTTGAGTTTTTCTAAACCAACTTAACTTCACAGACTGATTGAAGTACTGTTGGGTTTTTGTATGACAGTGGAAAGAACACTTGGGAGTAGGTTTAAATCATTAAGTTGTGTGATATTGTGAGACCATTTTTTTCTGTGTACCTTGGAGGTAAGGGATTCTCTGTGTGTGTTCGGGAGGCTGAGAAACCTGTCCGCTGTCACCTGGGAAGAGCTTCGTGAGTGGCCCTGATGTTATTGTCCCGGAGACTGAGGCTCAGGGGTACGTAATGCGCCAGGGATGTGGGGTACCAGGTGGGTCAGAAAGACCCGTGTCACTTGTCAGGGCTTGGACAACCTCTCTGCTGTCTGACCTGGCAGCCGACAACTTCTTTCGCACCCCCCCCCCCCCCCCACTTCTAGAATGTGAGCCTCTGGCCCCTATCGGGGAAGTGGATGTGCTGAGATCGGTCATTTGTACTTGTTGACTGGCTCATCACTCCATAGTATGAATACATTCCTATGATTTGGGTTTTCAGACACGAATTACAGAATAAGAAACAAAGCCTCCCGTGAAAGGTGTCTCGGATGTTGGCAGTCAGTAGAGAGAAGGCTGAGGGGATGGGATCCCTGATGCATCCATTTTTAAGGGAGGCTTCAAAAGTCAACTTGAGGGGACCCCTGGGTGGCTCAGTTGGTTAAACGTCTGCCTTCGGCTCAGGTCGTGACCCCAGGGTCCTGGGATGGAGCCCCACATCTGGCTCCCTGCTCAGCGGGGATTCTGCTTCTCCCTTTCCCTCTGCCCCTCCCCACCCCCGCTCGTGTGCTCTCTCTCTCTTGCTCACTCTCAAATAAATCTTAAAAGTCAACTTGATTTGAGTCCTTTTTTGATAAAGCAGTGAGGGGAGGGGCATCTAGAGTGTCAGGCCTCTTCAGAGAGCCTCCTGCTTTTGGGGGCGGGTGGGCGACAGTCCTGGGCCCTTATGGGAAAGAGGATTGTGGTGGGTGGGCAGTGGGAGGCTCTGGCTTTTCTCCTGCCCAAGTCCAGGTTCACGCACCTGCTAGGCCCATTCCCCTGCTGTTCCACCTTCAAGACTACACTGGTTTTCCCTTCAGTACAATTCCTTCTCTTGTTGCTGGGGGCTAAATCTGACATACTTGATGTTATTTTGGTTGGTATTTAAATACTCTTCAGATTGAAAACATCCCTTTTCAGATATTCTGAGCAAATTCCTCTGTTATTTTTACCCTTTGTAATAACGTTTCCAAGAAATTACTTTTGGAATGGTCAATAAGGGATTGCTGTATTCAGTTGAGCCACAGTGACTGGGACAGAAAGAGAAAGTGTGAAGTCTACTTTGAACCAGTTTGAGGGCTACCATGTTTAGATTTTTTTCTTCTTTTTTTTTGGTCTGTTCCTGAGATGCCAGATTTTTATCTGGATCAGAAGTGATCCTTGTAGATATAATAAGGATCTGGAGGTCAGCTAGGTGTCCATTGGTGTCCTTTAATTTTATTTGTTCTACTCTTTCCTGGGACAAGGCTCCCAAACCTTCCAAGCCCGACTCCTAATCCAGATTTCCCAGTGGGCTCAGGAGATGGTCTGTGGCCTTGCTGAAGCAGTGCTTTCTGGGAAGGGCGGGGCCAAGGAGGTCCACTAGAGAAGCCGTGCACCAAGGAAGAAAGTTCAGTGGATCCCTTCTCTTTTGCTCTTGTGGAATCATCCCAGTGCCCTACCTCTTTCAGAGCTCATGACCCAGCCCCTCCAGCCTTGACGGGGATGCGAGGAAGCAGTGGTCCGCTCCCAAGTCCACCTCTGGCTCCAGGGGTAGTTCCTGAAATCTGGCTTCATCCAGCCCTTAGCTTGTCAAGGTTAGCCTGGCTAGAGTCTGGGGCGGACTGTTCTGCTGGGTCGGTGGCTATGACACTCTGCTCTCCGTGGGCCTCCACGCACCCCTCCACTGTCTGTAGGATAATTTGGAGTCTCCGGTCCAGGGCCAGGAGGTGGGGCTCGGTGAGGATGGGGCTGAGCTGGTCTTCTAGCAAAGACTCCCGCATCACGTCACTGAGTCTGTAGTCGGCCCGGGCCAGCAGCTGCAGGTGCAAAAGCGTTTTCTTTTTTATCCTGGAAGGACAGAATATAGGAGGCAAATAGGTAAATGCGAAGAGAAAAGCTTGCCTGAACCTCTTTCCCCACAAACAGCTGTCGTAGGTGATGTTCTGGGAGCCTTCTCCCCCAGTGTCTTCTCAAGCACGTGTTAATGAAAACCAGGGAAAAGGAACTAAGTGACCGTTAACGACATCCGAAGGAGATTTAAAGCCACCAAGAGAAGTTTCTGGTAGGTGAAATGATGAAGAGTTTTGCCATCTCAAAAGCCACAGGTACCATCAGCCTCTTGCTTCTTGCCTCTAGCAAGAGGCTCTAGCCTTCTTGCCAACTTTGTATTTCTCTGGGTCAGACTCTTAGAGGGATGGAAATGGGGTGGATTTTGATTGCTTTTTATGTGAGAATCTGACTTGCACTCAGATGTGTAAGCAGCTCAATTGTCTGACTTGTCATCAACAGCCCCTGCCTCCCCTACTCGGGGAGAGGGAGGGCTGGAGGGAGGCATGTTTAAATGAACCTAAGAAGCGGATAAAGAACATGCTTTGCTCAGTTTTCCAGCTGGAAATGAATGAGGTGGTTTTGCTAGGCGTGCATCCCGCGTTTCTAGTTAGCTCTGGAAACTGCAGCTGAGCAGACGGACCATTTCACCAGCCTGACTTCGACACCAGAGAGGTATGGAAGTGGGTTAGACATTCTCTAGAGCTTGGTGGCCACGCAAAGTCCAAGTACTTCCTTTCAATCTGACATGAGTTTATAGGACTTTTTAAGGATTTTATTTCTATTTTTTTTAAAGATTTGTTTATTTTTGAGCGAGGAGGGGCAGAGGGAGAGAGAGTCTTAAGCAGACTGTGCGCGGAGCCCGACCTGGGACTTGATCCCACGACCCCGAGATCACGACGTGAGCCAAAACCAAGAGTCGGACGTTCGGCTGGCTGTGCCACCCAGGCGCCCTAGGGATTTTATTTTTAAGGAATCTCTACACCCAACGTGGGGCTCGGACCCACGACCCTGAGATCAAGAGTCGCGTGTTCTGCTGACTGAGCCAGCCAGGCGCCCCCAGTTTATGGGACTTTAATCAGTATTTTACTTAGATGGTGAGCAAGTCATATTTATGAGCTTCTCTGAGTGCTGAGCGAAGCAGAGATCTGATTAGCCGTGTCCAAGACTGTCAGACTCTGCAAGGATGAGCTCTTCTCTGAGTGGGTTAAAGATCAAAGTTAGTGACTGATCGGTTTAAAAGACGAGGTCCTCACTCATCCTGTGTGGACAGATGCAAAAGGGAGGCATTGCTGGGGAAAATTCTGTCAGTGGACAAGAGATGAGGTCATTCCTGTCCCCCTACGCACCGGGGTCCTAGACCAGTGAACACTAGGACCTTCTGAGCTTGGTTGCAAGTGGGATGAAGGGTCACAATTGCCACCTGCCCTGGAGCTGGGAGCTCACCTGCAACACTGGGACAGCGGCGACAGGATGGAGAGTTCGTCCTGGGAGTGTCGTCCAAACCTGGAAGGGGGGACGGGCTTTCAGGGTGACCCCCCCCCCACACCTCCCTCCTAATGGTTTCCACTCTCCTCTACCTCAGCCTTGTTCTGACAGCCCGGGGTAAAATGCCCGGGATCAGCTCCCAAAAGCCTCTGTGCAAAGGGGTTACGACCAGGCATCATTCATTCGTTCGTTCGTTCATTTGTTCGTTCATTCATTCATTCCCTAACTACAGAGGGCCAGACACTGAGGATGAGCCATGCACTCTGCCTCCAGGACTGAACCGCTTAGTAAAAACCTGTCAGAGGAGAATCCAGCGTTACTTAGCAAAGATTGGGAGAAAAAGGAAATGGAACAAGGAGGGCAGGGCGACCGGGAACGTGACCGTGGAAGGGCCTCATTCTCAGGGGGCTTCTGGTTGGCCCTGAGTGGCCGCACCCGGGGCCACGGCGGGGACAGCGATGTTGGGACACTTACCCTCTGGCATTGTCAAGGTGAATGAGGAACCCATCGTCCCCAAATTTGGTGAACATCTCATAATGATGCCGGTCCATATTTCCTGCAAAGGAGGGCAGGTGCTTCTGACCTCTGCGTCCTCCCCGGACCTGGGGGGCCTGATCGCAGCTGAGTCAGGAGTCTGAACCCAGGGCCCCACACTGTTTCCCATGGTTATTAGTGACGGTGCAGGGGGAGAGGGGGGCGAAGTGAGCACACAAACCCTCATGTGGGTGGGTTGCACACCGTGTGCCCGCCTTCTGAGTGAGTCCTCTCTAAAGAGGGGAGCATGTGTCAACCTCTGTCCTCTGGGACCTCCGCCACTTCCGAGGCTCTGGGCCGTGTGAGGTTCCTCAGGCCTCACGGGCCAGGCTCCAGCTCATTGCCCAAGGTCACGGCGAATCCCAGCCCCACAGCAGAGGCCGCTGCCGCCAAGCGCCCGAGCGCGGGGACGGGGACCCACCTATCAGGAAGTCGAAGATGGCCATGTCGATGATGTTGAGGAGACGGCTGCTACTGTTGTATGGGTAGATCTGCTTCACGGTGTCGCAGTAAAGCGGATTGACCTCCCACCTGAGGGGAGAAGAAATCCTGGGGCTGGAAAAGCCAAGATGGCAAGGTGTTGGGGGCCCTCTCCCACCTCCCCGCGTCCCCCTCCCCAAGATCCCTGCCTCCCGATCCCAGCTCTGGGGCCTTGGCTTCCCGGGGTTTACTCGGGTGGGGCAAGTGTCGCTCTTGCGGGCTCCTCATGTGCTTCTCTGGATGACAGCGAGTGCACCGCGGTGTTTTCATAATCTGCCTACTCGTCTGACCGCCCCCCAGGCCGGGGGAGCCTGTCCCGTACCCCTAGCACGTAGGACGCTCTTTGTAACTGAATACATGAACCAAAGCGGGGAGAACGGGCACAGCTGGCCCCAGGATCGATCTGAGATCAGGAAATAATTGGGGTTTGGGGGTCCAAGAGCCAGGCTGGTGGCAAGGCCTCGGTGCGGGGAGGCAGCCACTCCCAGGAACCAGACGGCAGGGCCGTGGGCATGGCATCGTGGCCAGGGGGCCAACTCACTCCTCTTTCCCTGCCAGCGAGTAGGAGCGGATCCAGGGGTTGGGCACCGACAGCCTGGGGGCCAGGTTGAGAGAAGGCAGGAACGCGGAGAGGGAGCCTTCCAGCAGGTGCGGGTTGCCACACACGGCGTATTCGGTCTTGCACATGTATGGGCACTTGGCAAAGAAACACACGTTGCTGGCTGGAGGGCACGGGAGGAGAGAGAGAAGGAATAAGGAGGCAGTGCCCTGTTCCTGATCCCCCCTCCTCCCTCCCCACCCCCACCCCCCGGAAAATCCTCCAGGAGGGAAGGGAAAGCCTCAACTCACAGCCTGGGCAGAGGCAGCAAGAAGACGAAAATATTGCTTTCCCAGATGTCGGGCCTTGTGAGTGCTCTTACACTGAGCATCCCGGGCACTGATTTTTCAAATGTCTCAGAGCAGAGGAAGTGGGCCCCAACCTCGCTGCCTCCCACCCAGATGATGAGAATGCTCTTTGCTCGCATGGGTAACATCTGAGTCCAGGGAGGCTGGCATTGTTGTTCACGCCCACCCAGGCTACTTGGCATTTCGCCTACGACCCTTTCCCATCCCCAGTTCATCTGGTGTGATGCTTGGGTGGACCGGGATGGGAGAGTCCGACGGCAGCATATACCCCTCCCAATGGGGGCCGGCAGGCGCTCAGACCACTGGGAACGCATCGGCGGCCACAGGGGCCGACCCTCCTACACCCAAAACATAGCTCGGGCCAGTACTCTACCTGGAGAGACGAAGAAAACACTCTGCAGGATTTCATTCTTGGTGACCTCTAGGATTTCCTTGGTGACATTGACTAGCCTCCCCACTGTGGGTGGCACCCGTCGGAAGTCCAGAATCCTGGAGGAGAGGAAGCCCTGTTCACGTCTGGGGGATTGTCGGGGGGTCGGATGGTCGCCCCTTAGAAACGGGCGGGCGTTCCTGACCACGTGCAGCCCAGGGCACTCTGCAGTACCGAGCTGACCACAACCAGGGCAAACCTGTGTCTAAGGGGGTGGGAGAAGGCTTGGCAGAAGACTCCTGAGTCCCGCAAGCCTCCTGGGCAAGCCTTCCCACAGTCCACGCTGTGTTCTAGGTCGGAGCTTTTCATAGGTTACTGGGCATGTGAGTGACCTGGGCTCTCGTTCACATGCAGGCTCTCTTTCAGCGGGTCCAGGGTGAGCCCGAGCTTCCGGATTTCTGAAGAGCTCCCGGGGTGGGGCCCCGGCTGCCAGTCAGTAGAACACACCTTGAGTAGCCACGACGGGCCAATGGGAGAGGAGGAAGTTTAGGCATGTGCTTTCACCTTTGGGTGAAATGGGATACATGGGAGTGGATGCATTCTCCCCGTTTCCAATCAGGAAACTAGAGTGAAGGGCAAGGTCAGGTCCAAGGTGGCAGCCTGAGCAGCCTGGCAGGGTGCTTAGTTTTCTTTCTAGGTCATTCTTTTCACTACATTAGAGGCCTTGTGTTTTTCAAATGAGGGGTTGAACAGGAGATGTGTTGAGTTCAAAGGCATCACTGAGGTTCGTGAGGAAGACAGGATGCCGGAAGGAAGAAATGCCAGGGAGGTCCCACCTGAGGGTCTGCCCAGCACCCCTTGGCCCATCGGCCCTTGCGGTCAACGCCATGTCCCTGGGGCCCAACCCTACCTACCTGTCCAGGTGGAAAGCTGCGATCTCGGCATTGTGTCTCTGAAAGTCGATGAAGTAGAAGAAGTCCGCGGGTGTCTCTTCATCTCGCTGCTGTCTGGAAGGAAGGGGGGAATCCCGCCCTGGACTCAGACTTCGTCAGGAGCCTGAGCAGAGAGCTGAGAAGCATGACCAGAGGGAGGGGAAAACAGGCTTCATGCTTTTAATGTACGTGTGCCCGATGGAACGACACGCCAGGGACAGCCCGCAACTCCCACGGCTCCCGCGGCCGGGAGAAGACTCTCGGGCTTCTTGCAAGACCTTGTCCTACAGGCAGTCCCTGGACCACATCCCCTGTTTGAGCCACTTTGGTGGCAGCGGCTGATCCTTTTAAAAGGTAGTTGAGTCGGGAAGATACACAGACATTCTTGGGCAGGTATAAACAGAAGAGAGGGACCTGCTGGTCAACCAGAGGTGCCACAGACCCAGGTGTCAAGAGTTACAGGTGGGGGAGGAGGCGGGGGCTTTTATAAAAGGAAAAGTGTCCTAGGGATGCCGTTTAATACAACTGATATTTGAAGACCAGAAAAGTCCAGGTCTTAGGGTGACCGGGGTGAATAAATGAGCCTGTCCCCTCAGAGAAACCTCAGCTGGGTCCTGAGAGTGAGCCCAGCCAGAGGCTTGAGGGAGGCCGGTGCAGAGGATATTGATTTGCACACATTTTAAAATCGCTAATGGATTCCTGAAAAGCACCAGGCCTGCCCGAGTGTGAAGGGCCGGCTGGGTATGAATGTTCTGAAAGGTGCCTCCCAGGCCTTCAGGGCAGCGTGGCCTCTGGCCCCGAGCTTGACTTGCCTTGCTGCGAATACACATGGAAGAATGATGATCTAATTTTATAATCCACCGTGGGGGACTGCGTGAGGGCTGCAGAAGCAATTCAAATGTAAATACCCATAATGTTGCAAAAAACTATAAATACACAGCTCCGGCAATTGAACTAGCGATGTGCACTTTGCCAAAAAACACAAGTCCTGGAAACCACGGCGAGGGGCTGACAAAAGCAGGCGTTCTGTTTTAAAAGGTGCGGCCACATGGAAAGGACAGGCCTCTGTGTCCAGGGGTGCCCCTATTCTCCTCCCTAGCGCCGCCGCCGGATGCCTGGGCAGCAAGGAGCGTGTCCACGGGTCCCCATCTCCACATTTTAATTCGTGAATTCCATCCATAAGAATCCACAGTCTCTCCGACACCTTTTAGAATTTTCTAAAACATCATTTCCCCGTTTCTGTATGGCCTACCTAGATGTGACTTTAAATTTGAAAATCATTTTTAAATCAGTGCTTCTCAGACTTGGACAAGAGCTGACGTGTTTTTCAGTGTGTATATTCTATAGATTTCATGAAAGATATGATCTTTAATTATGGTCATAATTTATATTATCCAAAGATAAACTCTTACTTTCCTTTTTTAATAAGGGACACTTTTTTGTTTGCTTGTTTGTTTGTTTTACATTAAATGACATATAGAAAAAAACGCATGCTTTTCCAAGAAGTACGTTTTAAAATGATGCTCTTTGGCTTTGGATGAAATTTTATACAAATGCTGATTAAAGTTTGTGTTATGGCCTAAGAATAGACAAAATGGCTTTTATGACCCAATGTTGGAAATTTTTGCATTCTATTCAGCAAGAAAACTGGTTCCTTTGGACAGTTTTTGTACGTTGTTTGTAAGTGACGGGGCAGAGAAGCGGCGGGAGGCTGGGACTTCCGGGCCTTTCCTGCATTGAAAACGTGGCCCGTGTGAGTGGTTTTCCTCCCCACACGTGAAAAGTGAAAGTAAAGCTCCCCCGCTGTGTAATTAGCTTTAAGTTCATAAAAAAAAAAATCACAGCCATCTTAAGGTGCCAGATAAGAATGCTGCTCAGAGAATGGAACTCATGGATCTGATGAGGGGTGGTCAATGTGCAGATTTATCATTGTTTTTCTGCTTCCCTTTAAGGTCTCGTGTTTCCCCATCGGTGTTTGCGCCTTCTGCTTCCTCTCTCTAACCAGGGCTCACTTCTGAGTCTACATTAACCCTGCATGACTAACCGTCACAATGACTTAAAACAACGTAATGCCTCAAACACGGCGGCTCTGTGTCCAGGGGAGTGGTGCGCGCCCAAGAATCACCTGGCTGCTTCTGGAGCCTTGGCTAAACCAGCCAGGTGGGCTCACTGAGATCGCTCCCTTTCCGAAGGACCACAACTCTTTCTTCCCAGGATTTGAGATGCCTGAATATAAGACGAGATCCCCTCCCCAAACTGTCCACACATCTACTGATTTTTGGTCGAAACTCCCTCACGGCTGCCACAGCTGAGGAAGGCGGTCACTTACCTCATGGGTTTGAACATGGCCTTCCCGAAGTCTGAGAACCTCAGAACCAGCTTGAGGTGGACCCCGCTGGGTTTCACAACTGTGAGGGGGGGACAAGGGAGAGTGAACACTGTTTCTGGGCCTACCCTCGGGGCTGTGACCTTTTGTTCATTCAAAACACCCAGCCGATTTCTTCTTTTTGTTCTTACATAATAAGACCCCGAAGACTAGCATTTGCTTTCGAAGCCTGCAGTGTAAATTCTAGTATTTCGGGACACGGAGAGCGTGTTTGGGGGCTCAAGACAATCCTCAAGTCTGCTCTTACGGGAAAAGGGTAAATGATGCAGGTTTTCCAAGATAAACACTGAAAACCCCAAAGGATGTTTTCCTAGGAACTGGTATCTTCCCCTCTGTGCTTCCGAGGGACCCCTATGGGTTCCGATTATGCCACCTGCTACATCGTGTTGGACTAGTTACCTGCATCTCTTTCTTTTTCAGACTGCACACCCGGGCCGGGACAGGGTTTGGTGACTAGAACACCCGTGACACTCCTACCTCACCCCGCGCTCAGCACTGCCTCCTGACACGTTCTGGCTACTTCACTCGCTTTGCCCCGTCCAGGCCTTGCTATGAGCCCCGTGAGGGTTGGGACAATGTCTTACGCACCTTTGTGTTCTGTAAAATGGCAAATGGCGGGCAGGTGCTAAACCAAAGCAAAGGGAAGCCTCGGGCCCTACAAACTCTCTTTCGAACCTTTAACACCTCACGGCACATATGGGAGTCTCTATGCGTGTTCAGTGTCTTAAAGTAAACGGATGAGGTTTACTTCAGATGCTGATGATGCAGGGGACCACACGCTCTCCAGCAGGGCCCTAGGAATAGCCCCTCCCAAATGCCTTTTCTTTTGTGTGGGTGGGTACGTGGGTGGGCGGGTGGAGAGAAATGTCGAGTTCTTAGAGATTGGGCAGAGAGAGTCATGTTCTTTCAACTTCCAACCAGGACCCCCACGGAGTGGACGGTGGACCCCTCATGTTGCTGCCAGGTCCCGGGGTTCACAGCACTCTGGCAGTGAGGGGGCTGGACAGAGGTGGGGCCGGGCCACTTACTCTGGGTGCAGTCACATGCCCCAAGCAAGGCCTTCTCGTCCTGACTGTAATCTGAAAAGGAGGAGAAGGGCAGTGAGAACGTCCAGCCTTGCTCCTAGGAGAGCTCACTATGCAGGACCCTTCATTCTGGTTCAGACCACAGAGGGGGAGATGGTGAGGCAGCCTGGGGCCCTTGTCCATTCAACAGGGGATGGCTCCAGGCCTCAGCTGGATGCAGCCTTCACCCTGCTTCATCCCAGGCCCCATGCCCTCTAGCCATTCAGTGGATGCTCCAGCAGCACCTGGCAAATGATCGAGGCTAGTTGGGTCCCTGTTAGTGATTAGACTGTTGGAGTGCTTGAGAGCACAGACCTGGGACAGCAGGACTGGGTTTGAATCCTGGCACCACCACTGGGTCTCTGACCAAGTTGCTTAACCTCTCTGAGCCTCAGTTTCCCCACCTGTAAAATGGCCATGATAATATCTATACCATATAGTCACTGTATAAAAGAGAGTGATCAGGTTCCTGAGAAGCACTCAATAAACGGTAGGAGCCACCATTCTTTTATGTGTGCAGAAACACTTTCTTAGGGCTCTCTGATGGGGTCGTGATGAGAGTAGAATGATAAGATCTCATTCAAAGGGAAAAAGATCAGGGGCACCTGGGTGGCTCAGTCGTTAAGCGTCTGCCTTCGGCTCGGGTCATGATCCCAGGGTCCTGG